TGTATGCAAACCGCAGCACTGGATCCACATTAAATCAGCAGTGGAGGTGCATTACATCACTCCACAGTCAGATCCATAAAGGGCTAAGAGCCAATTCATTTTGAGAAAACACCCTCTATTGATCCCTGCTGCTCTCCATCACTTACACTGTAACAGTTACCTCAATCCATAGGCTAACCTGACACATAATCCGTGTGTGTGTGGGTTTATGTGTGGGTCTGCCTTTGCAAGTATTTTATTAACATAATGTCAGCAAACAGGACACATGGGGGAAATACTGCAGGGTGTTCTATGGCTGTCCTGAACTCCTTTTTAAAAAATTGATTTCAGCGTCTGCGTTTGATACAAGACAACTTCCACTTCCCTCCAGCTGACTGGTCTAAACTGGGTTGCTAGCAGCCTCTAGTGGCCTTCAACCAACCTTGAGACACACTCATAAGAGCACCAGAAAGCATTTCTTAAATTTTGGGGCTCACACATGCATCTCATGTTGTTCCTTTCTCCTCTGATGGAACCAGAGTAGCCATTTAAGTGATACTTTACTACCTGCGAAGCACATTGATTTTGGCTCCGCTACTGGGAGTGCTGGATTTTCTCAGTACAACATTTTTGCACAGTTAGGTCAGGTTCTTATTCCCTTATTCCCACTGCAACATGCCGGAGCTCTTTGAAACAGGCAGACGGGCAGGCAGCACACAAGCATGCGCACACACACATTGTTTCCCACTGAATTGCACCCATGGAAAAGCAGATTTAGGCCATGGGACAGTAAAATTCCCTTTAAAAAACTACACTAAAGGCATTAGTGTACCACTGTACCTTTTTAAAGGTTGTAGGAACTCCGATTTATGTGTATTTTCACTGATGATGGTGACATTTGATCACTAGCTCCACTAATGTAAACAAACGGATGACAAAAAAAAAATTCAAAAGGGAAAGGAGAGAAGAGAGAGAGAAAAAAGTCAAAGATATGAATTCCACACTCCTCTGGAGTCTCTTCTTCTGTCGCTGGAGAATCCATCACATTAAAGCTTTAATGCTAGAATAACAAAGCATCCATCACGTTGAATGCCCCAGAATACAGAGAGCCATTCAGAGCAAAAGCCTGCAATTCCCTGGGTGCGGTACCTGTGCGCTGTTCACCAAGGCTGGCCAACATTTTTTTTGTTTGTTTGCTGTGGAACTTAGGAGCATGTGGTAAATGCAACAAGCAATGAATTAGGTTTTTGTGCATATCCTACTGAGGCAGAGCCCAGAGAGCTGACAGACTGATGTGAATTTACAGCTCAGGCTGACTTGAGTTAAACATATTCGAAGGGAAGTAAATAAAATATACAGGACAGGAGGGGGAGAAGGTGGAGGAGATAAATACAAGTGGACACAGGCGTAAACAGAGGCGAGAATAAAAGACGGAGAAGACGAGGACAAAAGGAGATGACAGAAGAATCAACAGGAAGGAAAATGCAAGGATGAATCTTAGAATACGGAAGGAAAGGAAGAGGCAGCAAAAAGAAAGATAGCTAGATGAAATAGGAGGAAGGAGATGGGAGACTGGAGAAGGACATAAAGAAAGAAAATAAAAGGAGGAAGAGAGGAAAAGACGATGGGGTATTAGGAAAGTGAGAAATCGTTTAGTCAATGAAAAACGAAAGAAAGGGATATATGTGTGAATGAGAGGGAGCTGCGTAACACAAAACATAGTAACACATACGACCAGCACAGCTTCCCTCACTCTCCCGAGTCTTTCTTTCATCGTACGTTCACAGTCACAAACGCACAAACCCGCAGTATCCCCAGCTGCATCTCCTGTAGTAACCCAGCCCCAATCCACGGCGACCGTGTGAGCCGGGTTACCATGGAAACTGAAAACCTCACATCAGCCCTCGGGGGTAAGGCGCACATAGCCATACCTCTCCACTTTCACCTCCCAGTCAGTCACATGACCAGCTCTAGTGCTGCAGCTGGAGAGCGGCAGCAGCAGAAGTAACAACTCACTGAATGTGAATGCTGACTGCAGAAGATGAGACAACACTGGGATAATACAAACCTCTATCACAGAAGCTCTATGTGCTAAAGTTGGTAAAGGTGTTAAACTGTAGCTCTAATGGACACATAGCGAAGAGACTGGTGATATGATTTCCACCCGCTTATCCAACCAGGGATGCAGGGGGTTTGATCCTAGCCCAGTTCACACTGGATGAACAGGTCACCAAAAAAAGAAAGACTAATCCGAATCCACATCTACAGCCAATTTAGCACACTTGGACTAAATTACCTGTGTGAAACACAAGCTGGAAGAAGGAGAACATGCAAACACAGCTCAGAAAAGTCCAAGATGGCCTACAGGTTCAGATAAGGTGGAGGTGTTCCCAGGTAAAACATGTTGAACAAAGTTACGCCCTGTCAAGATGTCAAGGTGAGCCTAGGTTATAGCCTCCTACATGCCCAACTGGCTGTCTTATTGCCAGTGGGGCATAGGGCACACTGCTTCACCTGCTCACAGTTGCTGTGATTCTGCCAGCCACTCTGCAACCCAACTCCTTCTTTCATGTCATATCTGACTTAAATTCATATCTGTTGCCACTGATTTGTTCTACAATATTTATGTAATTTTTTATGCATTGATTATGTAATCATATTTTTTTAAGATAATGGTCCTTAGTTGGTGGGCAGGAAGAGGTAGTACATGCTCACACTGTAAATGCACCCAAAATATCTGCTGCAGCAGGAATTATTCAAATCCACCCCAGAGACTTTAAAGCTTCCTTACATCTTCCTTGTGTCACACCTGCTCACCAATGAGGGATGCAAAAAAGCCCAATATCTTCAATTGTTTCTTTATTTGGTTGCTGTGGAGCCTGTTTTCTTAAAATAAGTGAAAACTACCTTCCCCATCTTTTTCAATTAATGATAGAAGTTTCTAGAAATAAGTCTATACAGAGGACGCTGCTACAGAGTCCAGAAGACAGTTCTGCTTAATTGCTCAATTACTTGAAACGATTTGAATGACATAGTTTAATTATGTAAAGTGAATCCATAATCATATCCCTGATGACAAGGATTTATCCCCTGTTGCAGTACGGATACAAGAACTGCATCCAATAAAAGCTAGGGTCATTCAAAAAAAAAAAAAAACTTCATTCACCGATTTATAGATTGTATTTATGGAGTGGATCTGAGATTGAGAGACATTCAGTTTTTTACTCTACAATGAAGACACAGCTGGTGCTGCCAGGACTGAGCAAAAACTGCGTCTAAATAAACCTCATGAATTGGGGGATTCATTGTAGAAGCGCTAGCAAGCTTCACACACATTTACACACACATACAAGAGAGTGCGACGGTGGTGGTGGTGGGGTTGGTGGGGGGGAGTAAGCGCGGGTGTAGAGATAAGGAGCTGCGGCAGTGAGGTGTGGGGGTGGGGGGTTGTTTCTGGTATTGGCGCTGGTGGGAACGTGTTGGGGCTTGAAGAGATGGGAGGCTGCAGCAATCTACGGTGTCACCAGGACCAAAAAACCCCACCGTCACCAGACTGTGGAACGCCACTGCTGCTCTAAATGTTCTCACAGGAGCGCAGCACTGCAGCGCTCGAGCTGCAAAACCCTCTGACTGAGATGTGTGTCTGTGATCAAACGCTTTCACAGTGCACGTTCGGCCAAAGACGATGACTGAAACGAAGGATGCGAGGGCATGTGAAAATTCCAAAAGGTGTCTTCTCCTTATGGGAACATTCTGGCTAGGAGACATATAATTTTACTGCTGAGGATGCGGTGTGTTACGCTGATTTGTTTCTAGCCTTAGGACAACTGCTATGCAGTTTAAAAAAGTATCAGGGAAAGAAAATGACCTTAAAAAAAAGATCACACCAAGCATTTTGTGTGGTGTCTTCGCATGTGTGCGGCTGTGGACATGAGGAAACAGTGCTATTTAAACATGTGAGAGTTGTTACACATGATTGATTATGTCCTAAAGGAAGTTACAGCTTATAAAACTGAGTGTGCATTTGGTCAATCTCATTCACCAACTTCCACATGACCATCGGAATATGTCGTACGGATGAAAGCGTACAACCTCCTTTCCAGGAGGGCAAGCAATAGCATTAGATGAATTGGGGGTGGGGGGTGTATCAGGAGCTTTTTCACCCCCACTGAATAATGGTGCATTACCATTCTGCTGCTGTAAAAGCAAGGTGACCCGTATCAACCCTGAGGTCCAAGTGCTTGGTTCTAGAGGCAAATTCACAACCTGATGCCCGTGATTCCATCTCTGTCGCCACCATTATTATCTGGAGCACCTGCCTGGAGATCTCTTGGAGATGTAACACTGACCTTGAAACAGCACTTAGAGAGAGGCACACCAACCGGTCTTCCAAGGCCCGCGGTCCACGATCGGTCATCAAAAGCTCATTTTCACAGCTACGTCATTTGATGGTTTAACCAAAGCCAGCTGTGTGCATGCTACAGCTGAGCGTGGCGATTCTTAGGAAGGCCTGTTCTTGTGAATATTTCATGCAGCGTGAGGATTTCAGACACACTCTTGTTGCCAATCTTTGCAGAAGAAAGGTCGAAGCAAGCCACAAAAGACTACATGTGCAGAATTTGTCCTCTAAGTCCACTGAATTCCTCCTCAGTCTCCCATTCCCAGCATCCTTCTCTCTCTCTCTCTCTCTCTCTCTCTCTCTCTCTCTCTCTCTCTCACTATCTCTCACTGTATGAAGCCTTACCTTGTTTCGTTT